GACAATCTTATTTGGGATTACAAAAATATAATTTTTTTTATTTTTCTAAGTATAAATTAATAGTTTTTAAATTTATACTATAATTTTTTACTTAAGTTTATTTTAAAGATATTTTATTAATTTTTTTTGTTGTTAAGTTTGCAAGTAAAGTCTAATAAGTTTTCAAAATTTAAATATTTTCAAGTTTATACTTTATAAGTTATTACTTATAATCATTAATATTTATTTTATAAGTTATATTTATAACTTCTGTCTTGTAAAAGTTAGATAAATAAAATTTGGTAATTTTAAAAAATTAAATTGAAATAAGGATAAAACAATTACAAAAATTAAAAAATATCAATTTAATTTATTTAAATTTGTAGCAAATTACAATTTCAATTTACAACTATTAGTAGAGTCATAGAAATTATATAAAACTTAAAATATAAAATATAAAGTATAATTTATAGAAAATATAAATATAAATTATATAAAATAAAAAATATAAAAAATTAATATATATTAAGTAAACCGGATCGGAATCGGACTGGACCGGACCAGTTCTGGGATGAACTGGTACCTCTACAACGGTATAAAATCACGGTTCCGTCTCGTTCAGTGTACTGGTTCAGACTATCCCGTCCCGTCCAGTAGGCAAACGAAACAAGACGAACCAGAATGGTACTGGTACATCCCGTTCCGTTGACCAATCTTAGTTGGGATACAAAGTTTTACTTTGTGGTGATTCAAAAGCATTCTTTTAAATTTTATTCAACATGTATGCTTGCCCTATAAGGTCTAAAGGTTCTAGCACGATAGATAGTTATCGTTGAACTCAAGAATCTTATGAATTCTAGGTATACACATATGGTAGTGAATCCCCAAACTCCGCCGAACAGATTCACTGCTATAAGTATATACCTTAGAATTCATAAGATTCTCAAGCTCAAGAATATTTTGCCAATAACTATCTGCCGTGCTTGAACCTTTAGACTTTATTGGGGAAGAATTTATGCTCAATAAACTTAAAAAGAATGCTTTTGAATCATTCCAAACTAAAACTTTGTATCCCAACTGGTAAGATTTTGGAAGGAATGACAACAAAGAAATGCGTCCAGAAATTTCATTCGGAATCACTTGGGAAACTTGTAGACTCTTTTGTCAAATGTGATGTTAGTATACAAATATTTAAGAATTATGAAAGTCAGCACGAGGGTTTTACTCAGAATTAAGAAAATAAAATCATTTCCAATGTTACACTTTGCAACTTTGGATGCGCTCGTAAAATATGAAATTTATGCGTAATGAACCATTTGATCTTCTAACGTGAATCATTCCTAATGAGAATTCTCAAGTTCTTTGACTAAGAGTTCCCTTTGCCTTCAATAAAAATGCATAGTAGGCTAAGGCAAACGATTAGAAATAGTATGAAGTAGCTACCTCAGCTCGTGTGGGGATGTAGCGACTTTACCATTTATTAATTGGATTGAGTTGCACATTGATTTTGTTGATTCTGAGAAGCTAGTTAATGTATGATAATTTTAAACCTTGCTACTTACATGTTCCATGATCCTTCATGGCTTGTTAAAACTCTTACTCACGGATCATATTCCACAATGATATCAACGCTAGGAATTTTAGGAGATGTAGTGCTAGATATGTTGGTGCAACACATATCTATTTAAAATATTCAAACTGAATCCATGACTAATTAATTATTTGAGGTAAGCTTCAGTAAACAATGAATAATATGCTCAATCTGCACTTAAGGCTGGCATGCGCAAGCACCTTTTTCATGCCTCGCGAAATCAGCAAAGACAGATATGTTGTACTATTGAGGATTTTTAAGAAATTGGATCCTGTGTCCAGGTTCGGATGGGAATCTGAAACGTGCTTGGAGATGTTTTTGGGTCCTCTGTTGGGGCGATCCCTTAAGACCTCTCCTGGAACCGTTGATTACACCTCAAACAATAAACTCCAACCAATAAGAGAGTTAAGTGAACTATGTGCCCAGAAAGGTTATTTAAAAAAGAAATCAGTTTCTTCATGAGACAGAGACTCGACATTTGTAGACATCAAAATTTTAAGGGACTCTACCAGATGAGTCAAACTTCATTTAGAATTCTTGAAGACTAATCCTACTTCTTGAAGACTAATCCTAACTCACACTATATAAAGGGTACTATATCCCTTAGAGAGGGATTTTGAAAATTTCATAAATTCATGAAACATTTACAAAGAGATCAAGATGTGGGCGAACTCTTTGTGACCACAAATACTTCATGAAATTCCACAAATCCTCTTTACATAAGATCACATAAAATCCATTTTTGGTGCAAATCAGCGTATAGAAGAATCAAGAAATGGACAAATTGTACTCTAACTGTTTATTAGTAAAATATTCTTCTTTTTCATATTTATTTCTTACTTGGAGTTTATTTTTAATAAATAAAATTTGTTTCAAAGAAATTGTCTCCTAGAACCCTAACTAAAATTTATAATTTATTAGGGGTTTTATTAGTTTTATCCGAGTTGAAGAATTGGTCAGAATCCATTCAACATTGTAGAAAGAACTGAATGTTCATTGATCAAATCCTTCAATGAATAGTCAAATACATCATTTGACGAAATTAATTACCCACAAGAGAGTAAAGATAGATCAAGGGTCTTTAGAGTCATCTCATACCTTCTAAGTTGTTTTATCACCAAATAGATAGATATACACACACAAGATTTACTGAAGTTTAACTTTAAATTGTTTCTTGTGAGTTGTCATGAGATGTTACAAAATCTGGAGTTGGTGGAGTTCGACAGAGTGAATTACACTACTTTTCACATGTGGGGCCTATCAAGGAAGTGGTGGCAGTCGATACTAGAACGACATGTTCATTCCCTGTAACTTCAGTTTAAGAACTTAATGTAAGATGGTATTTCAGATCAATTTTTGGAAAGATATCATGCCTTGTCTCACCATACTTTGGTGATTTTACCAGATAAGACTAAGAATTTTTCAATTCATGAGATGTTTGACTTATTATATCCGTTGAAATAGCTTATCAAACAACCTTGTCTGGAGCTTCTTTTCAAAGAGCAGTCAAGGTGGTCATGGAGCTTATGCACCGTATGGAATTTAGGGTTGCTATTAAAGGTTCTATAGGTCACGGTGACCATTCAATGTATTTGGATTTTTGTTAGTACATGGTGGTTCCTAGTCCTACTATGAGTGTATTGAGTCAAGAAAAATCAATAGATATTCCTCCTGACTTGGAGCAGGAGGTCGACATCAATAATGTTTCAATAATCTTTTGTAACGTTGTTGATTCATTTGTATTTTTATAAAATAAAGTTTGGAAAGTTCTATCTTTAAAACTAAGTAAAATATTCAAATTCAACTTGGAAAAAATGAATAATTTCATCGCAAAACACTAATATTATGAAAAGAAATGTTATTTAAAGAAAGTGAATATAATTTATATAACATGACTTTTATGAGAAAATAACATTGAACAAGAAAACCCATATTTCTTTTTACCTCATGCACCTTAAATGGTCTTTATTTATTCAATTCATATTTGATCAAATTAATTTTTTTATAAATCTAACAACTACTCATTAATGCAAGGTAAGAAAAAAATTGGATCATAATTTACCAAGTGATTTAGATCCTCTAAAATAACACTCAAAACTTTTCTTTAAAAATGGTGATAGTTGAAGAAGATATTGTGTTGGCATGTTCAGCGCGACATCATGGATTAGAAAATCAGAAATGATAGTTGCAAAATTCTCACATTGCATTACCAATTGACGTTGATGTATTCTCAAATTTTCGTAAGTAGAATGTTAGGTTTAAGTATGAAAATTTAAAAGGGCGTTGTAAGTGTCTAGATCAGACAAATTTTACTGATGAAGAAGATGATGAGAGTGCATTCATAAAGTTGTGACATATAAACTTACAAAGACTTATAGAGATTATTGGACAAACTAAGGGATACTCCATCTTTTTCATAAATCTCTCTTTATTTATTTTTAAATATTTTTTACTTATGATGTTTGAAGAATTATGAGTTTTCACTAATATTTTGTTTGATCCACATTTATGATGGTTTTTACAAAATCAAAATTATCTACGAGCTACAAAATATATTAAAAGATGTATTTCTTGAGTTAATACTATAGTTTAGTTAATTCTAACTATGTTAATTAAGTCTAATGCAAAGATATAACAACAATACGTTTCAAAAGATAATACATATCTGTTCCAATAAACAAACAAGAGTTTTCTGTAAAAGTGAAGTAATGGTTTTTAGTGCCATTAATCTTGACAATCCGTTTCTTAAAATGAAAAAGAAAAATTAACTCTTCTATTTAAAACTCCTCTTGAAATATCTATATAAGAATGACATTTTGTAAGCATAAAAAAATACAACAGCAACCATAAAGAAAAAGAAAAAAGAATTCCCCTCCTTTCATCATATTCTTTGGATATTTTTGGGCATTTGATTTTGGGAAACCTCCAAACTCTTATCCAGGAGTGCACGTGTTTGAGAGAAACTGTGGAACCTTTGGGAGCAACCGGCTATAGCGAGTTGCATCGGATTCAAGCCGAAATCACTTTCGAAGCAACAATATTTGTGATAAGTTCTTTACTACTTTATAATTCCAATCTAATATAAATATTGCAATATTTTTTCTAACAATTTGAAATAGATTTTCCTAACATATAATATTTATAAATGGCTATTTCTTAAAACAAAACTTTTAAGACTAACATTGATCCTAGCAATGTTATAACTGTTGACGATGTTGTTAAAAAGAAGTTCGAAAAGGATAACAAAATTGTTAGAGAAAATTTGCTAAATCATATGGTTAATCCTTTGTTTTATTTATTTTTAAACTATAAATATACCAACGAAATATGGGATAGATTGGAAAAAAAATATGATGTTGATGATGCAGGAAAGAAAAAATATGTTGTCTGTTAGTGGATTAAATTCAAAATGGTTGATAATAAGCGAATAATGGAACAAGTTCACAAATATCAGAACTTGATTGGTGATGTTCTCAACGCGGACATGAAGATATGTGAGATATTTCAGGTTAATATTCTTCTTGAAAAATATCCACCATCTTGGAGTGATTATAGAAATCAATTAAAACATAAGAAAAAGAATTTAAACCTTCAAGAACTTATCAGTCACATGAGGATTGAAGAGGCGAACCATCTCAAAGATAACATGGAAAAACTTTCTCTTAATTCTTCTAAAGCCAATCTTGTAGAATCTTCTGGTACTGTTGTGAAAGACAGGTTTAAAGGCAAACAAGAGAAAGTCTCGAAAAAAGAATTTATGAAGAAGAAAATTCAATTCAATAAGCCGAAGAGTCAAATTCAAAAATTTAAGGGCTCTTGTGTTGTTTGTGGAAAAGTTGGTCATAGAGCTGCCAGGTACTATCAAAGAAAAGGGCAAGACTCAAAGAAGGAAAGACAAAGTGATGTACAAGCCAATCTTGCTGAAGGTAATGAAGTGATTGTTGTTGTAGTCGTTGAGGCAAATCTGCTGGCAAATAAAATTGTCTGAGTGCTAGACACAGGCGCCTCAAGGCATTTCTTTGCCAATAAAGAGTTATTATATGATTTTGAGGAGTCTACTGATAGAGAGTGTGTATATATGGGTAACTCCACTACTGCTGTACTAATGGGTAAAGGAAATTTTTTACTTAAATTAACTTCTTGAAAGACATTGTCCTTGAACAATGTTTTTTATGTTCCCTCCCTCCGTAAAACATAGTTTCCTGAGCACTCCCAATAAAGTAGGCCTTACAGTTGTGTTTGAAGTTGATAAAATAATTATTTCTCACGGAGGAGACTTTGTTGGGAAGGTATATCATAGTGGAGGGTAATTTGTATTAAAATGCTCAGAATAATGGAATTAATTCCTATGATAAAAACAGATGATTTTTCTAAATGTCATGTGTGCGTAGAAGCAAAACATGCAAAGAAACCTTTCAAATCTATTATTAGTAGAAACAATGAATTACTTGAACTAATACATTCAAATTTAGCAGATTTCAAGAACAATGTTAGCAAAGGTGGAAAAAGGTATTACATTTCTTTTGTTGATGACTTTTCTAGATACACTTAGGTATATCTTCTGAAATTTAAATATGAAGCTGAAAGTATGTTTTGAAATTTAAATCAGAAGTGGAAAATCATTTTGACAGGGAAATCAAGAAGTTTAGATCTGATAAGGGTGGTGAATATAGTACTAAAACTCTAGAAGATTTTTGTGAGAAAAATGGTATTATACATGAAGTTATTGCTCCATATACTCCCCAACAAAATGGTTTAGCCGCACGGAAAAATAGAACCTTTAAAGAAATGATGAACTCTATGCTTTTGAGATCTAGTCTATCGAACAATATGTGGGGAGAAGCAGTCTTGTTTGCATGTTATATTCTTAATAAAGTCCCGCATAAGAAGTTAGACAAGACCTCATATGAGTTGTAGAAATGGTTTGCTCCTAGCTTGAAATTTCTGAAAGTGTGTGGGTGTTTGACTAAGGTTGGTCTACCAGATTTTAAACGAGCAAATGTTGGTCTAAGACTTCTGATAATATCTTTATTGTTTATGATCAAAATAGTGCTGCATATAGATTTATGTCTCTAAATGATCATTCTATCCGTGAATCTAGAGATGCAGAATTTTTTGAGTATATTTTTCCTTTTTAAAAACAATGTGCCGAGTGTTGCTCAAAATAATGCTTCTATGTCTCTGTCTATTAATTCGCATGTTGTACCTTCTTCTAGAGTTATTTCTAATGAGCATGAAAATGAACCTAGAAGGAGTAAGAGTCTTTGAATTGAGACAAGTTTTGTTCCTGGTTTTATCACTACTTTCTTAACTGAAAATTTTGATATTAATATTTTAAATGATGAATTAGTCTCTATTTATTTAATAGAAGGAGACTCGAAGACTTATAATGAAGCAATGATATCAATAGATATTATATTTTGTAAAGAGGCTATTAAAAGAGAAATAAACTCCATAGTTTTTAATCACACTTGGGGCTTGTATCGTTTCCCTGAAGATTGTAAGGCCATAAGTAGAAAGTGGATATTTAAGAAAAAATTGAGACATGATTGTAAAATTTATAAATATAAAGCTAGACTTGTGATTAGTGGTTTTAACCAAAACAAAGGTGTTGATTACTTTGATAGTTATTCTCCTGTGACTAATACAACGACATTAGAACTCTTATTGCTTTGGCCGCTATTCTCGACTTAGTGGTACATCAAATGGATGTCAAAACGTCATTTCTAAATGGTGATTTAAAGGAAGAGATCTATACGACTCAACCTGAGGGTTTTGTGGTTCCAGGACAAGAGGATAAAGTACGCAAACTGAGAAAGTCCTTGTATGGACTAAAACAAGCACTTAAGAAATGGTATGAAAAATTTAATATCACATTAGTGGACAATGACTTTGTTGTAAATTCATCTGATACATGTGTTTATTCCAAGATGATATGTTCAGATTGTGTCATTATACGTTTATGTATAGATGACATGTAAATCCTTGGTCCTAATGTGAATGTTATTAATCATACTAACAATTTTTTGTCATCTAAATTTGAAATGAAAGACCTTGGTGAAGCAATGTGATTTGGGAGTTAAAATCAAAAGAACTCTTAATGGTTTCTCTTTGTGTCAATCTTATTACAATGAAATGATATTGAAAATTTTTTATTATTTTGATTTATTTCCAGTGAGAACTCCGTATCATCCTAGCATACACTTGAAGAAGAATAAAGAATCTAGTGTTTGTCAAACTAAATACGCTAAAATAATTGGGAGTTTTATGTTTTTCATAAACTATACGCGTCCTGATATAGCTTATGTTATTAGTAGATCGAGTAGATATACTCATAATTCTAGTAGTGAACACTGAAATGCTCTTCATCGGTTGCTAATGTTTTTGAGAGGTACTATGAATTGATGCTTGCATTTTAACAAATTTTCTGCTGGTTTAAAAAGTTTTTGTGATGCAGACTGGGTAACTGACAATGATGAAGTTAGCTCCACCATTGGCTATGTTTTCACTTTGGGTGTTGGCGCTATTTCGTGGAAGTCTTCTAAACAGACTTGTATAACACATTCTACCATTGAATTAGAATTCATTGCTCTCGAGTTGGCAGGGAAAGAAGTTGAATGGATGAGAAATCTTTTGGCAGATATGCCTTTGTGGGGAAGACAAACTTCAATAGTTTCTCTTACTGTTGTGACTCACAAGCAGTAATTAAAATTGCTAAAAATAGTGTGTACATTGAAAAAGAAAGACATATTCGCATCAGACATGGTGCATTTAAACGGTTGTTGAAACTGGGTGTTATTTCCTTGGAATATGCCAGGTACGAAAGAAATTTGGCGGAACCTATGACCAAGGGCTTGAAACAATTATAATCCTTGAAACGTCGAGGGGGATGGGTCTAAATCCCATTGATTGAGGTAATCTGGTGGACCAGTTAGGCCTCAATATATACCACATTTGTATCCCTATGGCGTGAGGCAGTGTTTTATAAGGTTGAGCTTATTTTGCTCTTAATGATTCTATAGCCGAAAGGTGGTCTATTTGAGATAGACTTGATGGAGTCACCTACGTGAGTGTAAAGGTATACTCTCCTTTTATGGAAGACTTGGGTCGTCTTTCTAGAGCACTCATAAGACCCAAGGTGTGTGTGCATGACCATAAAAGCACTTTGTTTGTATCACGGAGGTTGCTTAAAATTTAAGGATATAGTATGGGTTATGGAGGTCTTAATTTATATATATTCATTTCAAGAGTTTTTTACTTTGTGGATATTGAGTTGTTGTCTCATTTTCACTATGTGTAAATTCAATTCGAAAGATATTGACACTTAAGTACATGTTCCTTCCTTTTGTCTAATAGTCAGTTTCTACTCTTTATCTTTGCATTGGTGGGGGATTGTTGAGTTAATACAATAGTTGAGTTAATTCTAACTATGTTAATTAAGTCAAATACAAAGATATAACAGCAATTTGTTTCTAAAGAGAAAACATATCCATTCCAATAGACAAACAAGAGGTTTCTATAAAAGTGAAATAATGGCCTTTAATGCCATTAATCTTGACAATCCGTTTCTTAATATGAAAAAGAAAAATTAACTATTCTATTTCAAAATCCTCCTCTTGAAATATCTATATAAAAATGACAATTTGTGAGCATAAAAAATACAACATCAACCATAAAGGAAAAGAAAAAAGAATTTCCCTCCTTTCATCATATTCTTTGAATATTTTTGGGCATTTGATTTTCGGTAACCTCCAAACTCTTAGCCAGGAGTGCACATATTTGAGAGTAACTATGAAACCTTGAGGAGCGACCGGCTATAACGATTCACATCGGAGTCAATTTAAAATCACTTGCAAGGCAGTGGCTTGCCACGACACAGTATTTGTGATAAGTTCTTTACTACTTTATAATTCCAATCCAATATAAATATTGTAGTATTTTTCCTAACAATATTATCTTTTCTAAACCTTAAGTGTTGGAGGACAAATAAAGTATCACAAACTGGTACAATTTGCACTAAAATTTATTTTATTTTCAAATAAAATGTTTTTTATTTCATTTTATCAATACAAAAAAATAATCCCACTATCACTAAACATCAAAACTTCATTGTTAAAATATATACGGAAAAATTCTCAAATAATACTATTAGCTATATACATTTTAATAAAGAATTTTCTAGCTAATTCATTTTTTTATTATAAAAATCACTAATTGATTGTTACACTAAAATAAATCTCAAAAAGAAAAAATAATTTCTGACAAGTCAAATTTCGTAAGTATTTCAAGAGAAAGAACATTATATTATTGTTGGTGTCTTTTCAAACAAGAAATTCTTCTTTATTTTAAAAAATAAAAAAAAAATATTAGTGTTAGAGAAAGAGAAAATGTAGGAGGGATTACAAAGTAAGAGTCAAACCCTCACTAATAAATTGAAACTTCTGCTAGTCAATCAACATAACTACTAAGATTCTCCAACTAGCAATTCTTTGTAAGTAATGATCATTATTTCTCAATGAGTCTGTAAGATTATTTACAATCTATCTTCAAATGCGTAAATTATTCTTCATTTCTATCGAGTGTTTATAATTTTCATGAATAGCAATATGCGGGTGAAATTATATATATATATATATATATATATATAATATATATATATTCATATATATATATATATATATATATATATAATATACATATATATATATATTCATATATATATAAATATATATATATGCATTTTTAATTAAAAATTGACAGCAAAAAGGTAATATCGATATTGATATCTTTATTCATGCTATTTTTATGTAGGAAAAGTTTTTTGAATTTTTTCAAACAATAAGTTGAACAAAGAATAAAGTTAAATGAAGAAAAAGTGATTATAATTCTGATGACAAAATGGAGAACATTTATCAAGATTTGATAAAATCTTTGATGTGATGAGATCTCACAATCTCGACTTTCCAAGACAGATAAATACATTGCTAATCTACATGTTATAGGTTCTTATACTTATATTTGTACTTTATTATAAACTAAAACTTTGACAATTAAATAGAATACTTCATTTCTTCTTTTTGATGTGACACTCTTTCCTCTTTAATCCACTATGAAAAAAAAGTATTTTCGTAATTGAAACATGATAAACTTTGAACTTCACATCTTTTTATCTTTGAAGGCATGCTTATTTTGACTCTACATGAAACACAAAAATTCTAAAACTGGTGGTCTTAAATACACTGTAATATTTGTGTGACTATATAACTTCTCAATAATAGTAAAATAAAAAAAATTACGACTTGATTATTTTCAAATACATACATATGTAATATATTTTTTAACAGATTGATGATAAAATGGTGTTACATAAAAACGAAACGAAGTACATGACATGTTAAATACCACAAGTCATTATTTTTTCTTTTAAACTCATTTTGAGGTCTAATTTATAGTGTAAGGATCATAAAATATGGATTAAATACGCTATATTAGTGCTAATATTTACATATTTATTTTTATGAGAGATCTATATTATACTAAACCAATTAAGCAACATATGGATTTACAGACTATTCAAAACAAGTTAGCACAAGATTTTTTTCGAACATCAAAATTGCCAATTTCATTAAAGAACTCTTATTGATTTTCAGCAACGTCATTGTTTATTAACCATATGAAGCACTTCAAAATTCTATTGCGCTTGAACTCAAAGCCATTATTGTGAGGGGAATGGGTAAAAAGCCCTAATTAATCGCAAAATTCTGTGTTGATAAGATGCATCATGCAATACAATGTTGGCCACAGAAAAATTGGAGAAAAAGGGTATATAATGCACATAACAAAGCTTAAGAAGGTGAGTCATCAATGAGGAGTACGAGGGTGAGAAATAGGGTTTGTCGGTTTAAGAACGGTCAAAATAATGATTGCAAAGGGAAACAAATAAGAATGACAAAAAAATACTATGTAAATAATGAGTGAAGCTTAATAGAAGGTGGTCGAATTTATAGAAGATTTTTTGGTGTAATAGATTTCTTTTGTTTTCTAATTCCGGTAAGATTTCATAATTTATTATCAATGTAGATCAGAGACTATAATTAATCTCCTAACCCTTGTCATCTGCCTTTTTTAATATCAAGATTTTAAGTTTAATTTTGAACAAAAAAAGGTCACATAATTGAATTTACATAATTCAGTTGATAATGTGAATAATTGTTTGATACATGATCTGCATCAACCTCCTTTTGTTCTAGGAAAAACTAATATTCAATTTTTTTAAGTACATTTGATCATTTTTATAATAGTTATTATTTAATTGCCTCCTACCATATCGTTCTCTATTGGCCACACTTTCTAGTAGAATGTTGGAAGTAATTGTCTTTAATTTAATGACTGAAATGATCAGTCAAGACCATAGCTTCTCACTAAAACATCATTATTTCACTCATTGTGTTATCTTTTTATGATTTGTAATTTATGTAATATCTTGGACATTTATCTACCAAACCTATTGTTATCACATGTATTAAGGTTAGTAAAAATTGCACAAACAGAAAGAAGATGAAATTGACAGAATTTACTTATAATCTGACTCCATTGAAACTACTGTGTCTCCTTAAGACCAGCTTTTTACCAGAAAGTTGTGTCTTTTGGAAAAAATAACAACTTTTAGGAAAAATGTGTCTTTTGAGAAACATAACGACTTTTTGGAAATCAGCCTGTTATGACCGTTGCACAAGAATTTCAAATAAATTCTGTTGCATCAAAATTAATTCTGTTATTTAACTCATTCTGAATTATTTTATAAGAGAAAAGAAATTGATTAACAGGTCACATGATTTGTCAAATGCAAATTCAAATTCGAAGCCAAAACGGAGGTCGACTGAGCACCGACGGCGCGAGGGGGCACCTTCTTCTCAGACCCTTAAGAAGTAAAGGAAGTGTTTTCTAACATGAGGACAACAATTTCCTTTCTTCTGCTGATATTGGATAAATGACTTTTCATTTTCACTTTGCAAATAACTTTTCATTTTCCCTCCAAAATTGGTTCCTCATTTCATTTTTCTCTTCTCATTTTCTGTTCACACTTTGCTAAAACCCGACATTTACTACCCCTGTAATCTTCCTTTTCATCATTGGAAGGAAGAATTTCTCCCTTATAAATAGTGATGGTCTTACTTTGTTAGCAGAACGTTGAGAATTATTATCTTTTGTTTAGAAAATGAATGTGGTCAACCATGACCGTAACTTCTCATTGAAACTTTATTATCTTATACTTTATGTTTTGTAATTCATGTAGCATTTAAGCCATTTATATACCCAATTAAATATCCCATGTTCTTCCTATTCAGGAAGGTCTTACTTTGTTAGGAGAACGTTGGGAGTAATTGTCGTTTGTTTAGTCACTGAACGCGGTCAACCATAATGGCCATAACATCCCATTGAAACTCCATTGTTTCAATCATTATTCTATCTTTTTTATGTCTTCAAACTCATGTAATTGACCTCTAGGTCATTTATCTACCCAATTTACTACTCTATAATCTTCTTATTTATTGCAAGAAAAAATTTCTCCCCTATAAATAGTGTTGGTCTTACTTTGTTAGCACAATGTTGAGAGTAATTGCATTTTATTTAGTGGTTGAACATGGACAATAATCTTGGCCACAACTTCTCATTGAAACTCTATTATTTCACTCATTATTCTA